CTACTCCTCCATGTCGGTTCCCTCATCCTCTTTGCAGCTATCATTCTTAACCAGTGTGTAACCAAGGGCAACGTAGCTCTGAATGAGCAGGGATAATTGTTCTCCCCAGCCATGACATAACAACACACTTGCCTTGAAGTGTCTAACTCTGTAAGCAGCTTCTTTGAGTGACAACTTTTTCCCCTCAAAATTCCCTCCTACTGCCAGTCCATCAACTGTGGGCCTCTCTCTACCAACCCTTGTACTCCTGATGAAAGAAGAGATGGCACCGACCTGTCACTTCCAGTTCAATAGCCATCTGATCACGCCATTTTCCTTCTGTTACACTGCAAATATATTTCCCTTTGTCAGAGACCTGCACGTTCTTCAGTTTTAGGTACAAGTTGCCTGTGCTCCACTGGCTGAGGCAGGGCTCTGTGCCTCCCCAGCTTTGCTCCTCTAGCCAGCTATCTTCGACTGCTTCATTACAGGAGATCTCCTTCGGTGTCCTGAAAGGCCGTAGAGCAACCCACCCAACCGTGGTGCTCCTGGGAAAAACAGTGCACGACAACTGGCAAGGCAGAATAACATTTTCCCCAATGATACTGATGATTGGGTTGTTGGGAGGAAGGGTGGTCTTTAAAGTCCCTTCCACTCAAACCGTTCTATGATTCTGGCAGCACCTGTGGCCCCACAGAGGACCCAGGCCGGAGCAGTCTGTTCCTGAAGGATGCACCCCGTGGAAAGGACCCATGCTGGAACAGTTCATGAAGAACTGCAGCCCATGGAAAGGACCCATGTTGGAGAATTTTGGGAAGGACTGTCTCCCATGGGAGGGACCCCACGCTGGAGCAGGTGAAGAGTGTGAGGAAGAAGGAGCTGCAGAGACAAGGCATTATGAACTGACCGCAACCCCCATTCCCTGTCCCCCTGCACTGCTTGGGGGGAGGAGGTAGAGAAGCTGAGAGTGAAGTTGAGCCTGGGAAGAAGGGAAGGGTCGGGGGAAGGAGTTTTCTAAGATTTGGTTTTATTTCTCATTATTCTACTCTGATTTGATTGGCAATAAATTAAATTAAGTTCCCCAAATCAAGTCTGTTTTGCCCATGACAGTAATTGGTGAGTGATCTCCCTGTCCTTATCTTGACCCACAAACCTTTTGTCATATTTTCTTCCCCTGTCCAGTTGAGGAGGATGAATGACAGAATGGCCAGGTGGGCACCTGGCAGCCAGCCAAAGTCAACCCACCCCACTACCTACGTGTAAGCATGAGTTTTACACTTCAGGTACAGACAGTAGACAATCGGATGTCATTCACTTGAAGACAGGCATCTATTGCCACTTGAGATGCCATGTCACATCTTCCCTCATCTTCAGCTGCTGCTCCAGGAAGGTGTGAGAATCCTGTAAATCCCACGCTCTGATAGCCCTGTGGGAGCTCAAAGTGCATTAGGCTTCCACATTTGGGCAGCTGAATGTCACTCTTGACTCCCATTCCTTAAGTCAAACTAACTTAACCAACTGCTTACATATAAGCAGTTGTTCCTGAGTTTTATCACATCCAGTACGTGATCTGTGTATTTCACCCTTATCACTTAACATCTCTTACAAGCAGACCTCCAGAAAGACTATTTGCATTTCATAGTTCACAATTTTATTGCTATTAATAGTTTCCTGGCTTGCATTTCATAGTTCACAATTTGATTGTTATTAATTGTTTTCTGACTTCGTATAAAATTTGAAATTTGCATTAACACTTTTCTCGGTAAACTGTTCCAATGGGTTTATTAGTCAGAAATGAATACACAACAAATGCAACAAATGCTGAAACAAATTCATGTTTGTTTAGGCCAGGTAAAATTGCAATATTTGACAGGTCTGGATATTTACAAATTTAGTTCTTAGTACAAGATGAATCCCTAAGAAGACTATTTCGTTCTTGACCATGGTTTTAAAAGCTGATCTTACTTTTTTTTCCTTCCCCTCTGCTTTCACATCCTCTGTGATTCACTATATTATTAATTTTTTAATCTCCTCATGGTCCCGTGGAAGGATGTCACAGAGAGGATAATGTGTTTTTAATGCTTACAGGGCGTACTCCCAACCATTTGTCATCAGAGCCTGGACTGAAGAATGGGTACAGACACCCAGAAAACTCCAAAGAGAGAGATGCGAGACAGCACTTTTCTTCAACATCAAAGAATGAAAGCCTGTCAAATTCCTGATCCAGGAAAACACCTACCACGCTGCAGGGCTTGCAATTTCTTACAACTTTCCCATCAGTTAAACTGTATTCTCCCTGAGAAAACTGCAGACTGAGTAAATTCCCCTTTGGGAAAGTATTCATGTTGTTGCTCCTCAGTGTATCTCTGACTTCCTTACAAAGCACACCCAGCTCCCACTCTGATTTGTCTCCCACCTCCACTTCCCAGTAATGTTTCTTTTCTGAAAACCCTTCAGTAGCTACCACCACTGCTTTGGGCAGGGTCTTTTTCTGGGTGGAGGACATGATGCTGTTTTTCTCCTTAATGGTGAGGCTGGGATGTTTGCAGTTCTCATCCAGAGTGATATTAACTTGAGAAAGGAAGGAAAAAGAAAAAAAAAGGTAAAAAAATACAAAGCACCAAGTTATTTTTGATTTTCAGGAAAATAAACAGTAATCTGAAAGGAAGTGAATAAAGGAGACAAATGATAAAATAAAAACAAAACAAAACTAAATACCCCAGTAATATACAATGTGCTTTTGTCAGACAAAATCTCAATAGCAGAAATAATATCCATCAGGGCATGCCTGTTCTCTGGCATCACTGTGCCTTTATTAGTTCATCTTTACTCTGACTGGGGGGATCCAGGATCTCTGGTCAGACCCATCTGGCAGCCTGACTTTTTGGAATAAAATGCAAAGCTGAATCTCTCAAAGTCACATAACATGCTAAAAGGTCCTAGTTGGTACAGAAACGATTTACGTCAGCTCGTGACACGAAGAACTGTTAGATGGGAGATACCTAAGAAAACCTGGATGCCTGTTTCAACCAGTGGGTTGCAAAATTTCACCAAATTCTGACAGCCTGCGATTTTTTCATAATACAGGGGACAGACTCTGGTACGTGCATGAAACAACATGCGGTTAATGGCAGGCGAGACTTGGCTTACCTGCATTGCTACGAGCTCTCCTGAACTCTGCAAGAAAAGAAACTAATGATTAATTAAAATTGCTGCAGAATGTTAGTATACCTAATTTCAGTACAGTACGGGGTGTGGGGGGGTGGTGTGTAGATTTGATAAAATTGGTTTTCAACTTTCAACTCACCCAGTTCATTTTGAAGTTTTTCTGAAAAGGACAGAAAGTTATATTATCCTCCAGGACCAGAATCATAGAAGTATAGAATCATTTAGTTTGGAAAGGACCTTTAAGATCATCAAGACCAACCCTAAACCTAGCACAGCCAAGTCCGCCACTAGACATGTCCCTAAGCACCACATCTACAATGTGCCATCATGCATGGCAAGGCTCTTCTGTAGGGTATCTGCACTAATAAGAATATTTCCAATGCTACATTACTGAAGTATGACCTGGCCTAGGACTCAGGAAAGGATGCTAGCTTAACTTTGGAGGGCTAGAGGTTATTTAAACCCAAGCTAGTCACCTGGGCTCTGTGTAGAGTCAGGAGAAAGACTGGCACATCTGAAAGTGTTTCTTCTCTGCTGTTGCAACCAGCTATCTGAAACTACTCTTGGATGCCTTCATCTCTCAATGAGGAAGCCAAGAATACTGCCTTAGCCTCAACGCCCAAAATTTAGATAAATAGGTGAGCTGCATCTCCTGTAGTTACATGCAGGAGCTATGGCCATGCTTCCAGAACCTGTGAGGTGACAAACAGGAGCTTCACATAGCCAAGATTTAAAATACATATAAAAGGTTTGGTTTTTTTTTTTTTCTTTGCTTTCAGAAAGAACAGTTTGTTAGTAGGAAGGGAAATATGTTTTCTACTCGGCTACAGCAAAAATCAGATCCTTAAAAGATTGAAATTGTGTTCCCTTGTTATTGAAACAGATGTTCTGGAGTCCAAGATTGTGTCAGAAGAAGATTTTTTTTTTTAGGGATAAACTAAGTCTCAGTGTGGAAGGGAATGCAGTGCTGTGACAACCCGCAAATGGTGGCACAGTTCAGTTCCAAAATGGTGTTTCTAATCACAAACAATTTAAATTCTTTTTAAAGATCAAAGTTAACTTAATACCCTTACCAATTTTGATCGATATATCCTGAATTTCTACAAGGAAACAAAAGTAAATTAAAAGTTAGGATGACTAAAGCAGGCCAGTTATGGTACACCCACTATGCATTTTGGAATACTAATATATAGGTTATCTGTATATAGAGAGGATTAATCTGTTTATTAATCTGTTTATATATCTGTTTATATATATTAATATATATA